CATATGTAGTACGGAGTATTTATTTAGTTTAGCCTATCTTTATTTTCCCACAATTTTTAGAGTACTCGGGGTTCCAAACACAGCCTTCAGAAACCAGAAAAAATACCTGTTTGTTTGCCAATATTAAAAGCGGAGCTCCATGGAGATCCTCATGCCGGAGAACCTTTTCTGCCAATTATGTACAAATCATGAGGGCCTTCAACATCATCTCTCTATGAATTAGACTCTGTCCAGTGACTAAAGTGCATCATCAATGACAAGACTTACCAAGTGCGGATTTCGCATCTTCAAAACGTGACGGACAAGCAGCATCAACCACAAACAACACTGCATGTGCCTCCTCGTAATACTTCTCCCAGATTGAGCGAAGACCAGGCTGAAGCAACATAAATCATAATGATCCACATAAGGCATATAATTCCATAGGAGGAAGCACATGAAAACTAGCACAAGCCAGATTGCATTTGGAATTTTACTGATAATTTCTAAACCAAACAAAACAAACTCATAAGGTTTGGGGGGAAGATGTACGTGGATGGTGGACCTTACCTCTACCCTAAGGTAGAGAGCTTGTTTCCAATAGGATAGAGGGGGAGTAGCTGGATTTTTACAGGAAACTTCCCAAGACAAAAAATCAGAGAAGGAAATGAAGAACATATGAACTCATGGAAAACACAATGTCTACTTTCAACAGCATGTATGCACAAACGAACTATTGACAATGCTAAAACAAAAAATCCATTGGTGTTCATGTGACATTCTAGAAAACTGGAATGTGTCTTCCAGGAGAAAATTTGTTGGTCTAGTCACTGTATATGATAAATGGGATAGTGGTATACAGTATACATAATCTTACAAGATGAGTGAGTCCTATCAAGAAATAAAGTCATTTCACATACCTGCCCTCCGAGGTCCCAAAACACAAGTTTTGAATTCGAGACTTCAACGCGGCCGATATTCAGTCCGACTGTTGGAACAATGCGGTCAGGTGGAAGGCCTTCTATGTTTAAGAATTGTGACTTCAATTTCTCTAATAATGTCTAAAATCAAAACCATATAAGTGATCTATAATCAAAACATTCTACTTCACAAAATCACGCATATCATTTATGTAACAAATACGAGAACAAAGTTGCATTCTAATTAGAGCTAATCGCACGAATGACAATTGACTAAGATGGGTTCAACATGGTATTGGGAAAGGGGTTGAGATTAGGTACCCCCTTCCCCTCTCTAATTATTAGTCTCTCAATGCACACTCAATTCCAAAACTAAAATTGAGCGAGGGCATGTACAAGTGTAACTTATGAATCCGAGATAATGAGATGCTTTTATCATGTACAAATAGAATGCCGTGTGTTTGTGATAGTGGGAATTCATAAACCCCAATTGATAAATTAATGAAGGAAGTTGAATGATCTGAACCAAAAGAGAAAGCGAATGAATAGGAATTTAAAAAGACAAATACATATGAATGATACCGTTTTTCCAGCTTTGTCAATCCCCAAAATAAGGACATGAAACTCTGTCTTACTGAAGACGTACTTCCAAAGCCCGTAGAACAATGAGAACATCTCTATTTGGTTCTGGTCCCAGCGAATAGTAACTCAATCTTCAAGGATCAAAACAAAAGAAGTGCCATTCCAAATGAGTACACTCAAAACATCTTGGTAAAATAGCAACCACATGTGACATTCAAAACTCTACATGGTTCATGCAGATAAAAACAAAAACTTTAAAGCATTTACCAAGTGCAAAGCATATTGAAAACAAAAATATGATTAGGAACAGTTGAATAAACATAAATCCACCTCTATGAGCTTTTGGGATTTATACATCCCAGAAGCTATTATCTAATACTCCCTCCGTCCACAAAGAAAGTTCCCATTGCGCATTACGATGTTTGACTGAAATTATTTTCAAATCATTTTATATAAAAAATGGTATGGAATTAAAAAATAAAAATTACATATTTAAAAACTACAGAAAAAGATCTACAAAACTAGAGGTGACATGACTATATTATTTTATCAAATAAGACACAAAAATAGGCTAACAAAGTGAATAAAGTTTGACCCTGTGAATAGGGAACGGGAACTTTATTGTTGGACGGAGGGAGTACCATATTCTTATTCCATCAAATATTATGAAGAGCTAAATTATTAGTATCAAGCTATGCAACCATAACACAGGAATTAATCAATAGTTGCAGAAAATGAGCTCATAATCAACAGCGCATTTGTTCAAACCATGCGATGTAAATAAACAAGGGGACCAATTCATCCTTCTAATCGGGTTAAGCCAAGTCAGAAAAGATGAAACAGATGGTGAATGTGTGATAAGCCCCCAAGAATAAACAATAGGGCATATAAGGGAATCACAGAAGTCCGAGGTTACATTTTCTGAGCGAATAAGTACAGGTCTTAGAATAGTAAATAGTACCTCACCCTTTTCTCTCTCCCTCTTCTTTAATGCCCCTCTCAAACATATGATGCCTGATGAGGTATTAACAGAAGCCCTCACCTAAATCTCACTCATGCCCACGATCCGCACATGACCATGTCAATAGGGTCACCTATCGGTACCTGAATCAATTGCACCCATCCTAAATCCACTCCTAGACTTGCGGCATGTCATCGCACTCGCACACACACGGCACACCTAGCCTACACCTATGACTAAAGTTTGCAGCTTTTCGGCTAGCTTAGGAACCACGAGGCCCCCTGCGGGGAAACACCAGACCAAAGGTCTGGTACCTCCCTGCATGTTATGTAAGCCCAATAGACATCACCGGCCTGCCCGGATGTCTGCCAGCAGGCCACACTGCCCGGCAATCCGGCATAACCCCTCATCACTGATAAAAAATACGCGTAGCAATCATTTCCACAGCCGTGTGAATCTCAATGCTTCATTTGTAAAGCCAACTTGATTGAATGTCATCGCGACCGACAGAAATAGGCAATTTAGCACTACTTTTTGCTAAACAACCCGAAAATTTATGAGTGATCTGAGGAAGATAGAAAAAAACCTGACAAAGAAAAACTGGCAGCGGCGAGATTAGATCCGGCGTGCGACGGATCGCGGTAGAGTCCGATATGGACGCCGTGGCAACTTGAATTTCAGTCGTTTACTGCTTATGGGGAGGTGATTTTGATGTTGTTTTCGTTGTCTCCACAAAGATGATTATGATTCCATCTGAAAATAGTGGTAATTTCCTTAGAGTTGAGTGTATATGGTATATTAGTACTTCCAGTATTAGTTTTGAAATAGTATTGTGCTCATTTTGAAATAACAAAATACTCATTATGAAACACGGTGGGGTTCCAGTGCCACTGGAATCCGGTGCCACTAGCGGTGCCACCGGCATTTTGGGGCACCTCCGGTGCTCCGTTCGCAAAATTGACGATTTCTACCTCCTAACCCACCCCCTAAACCCCCCACCCTACCCCCACCCCTGCACCCCCACCCCAACCCCGCCGTAAGCCCCCCACAAAATGTGTGGCTATTATGTGTGGGGGGCTTACGACGGGGTTGGGGTGGGGGTGCAGGGGCGGGGGTAGGGTGGGGGTTTAGAGGGTGGGTTAGGGGGTAGGAATCGTCAATTTTGCGAACGGAGCACCGGAGGTGCCCAAAATGCCGGTGGCACCGGAGTGGCACTGGAACCGGGCCGTATGAAATAATATAGTACTCATTTTTCACACATTTATTTAATACAATCATAATATTCAGCAACGAATAAAGTAATATTCATTCTGAAACAAACTAGTAGTCATTCTCAAATAAGGTGGTGTTCACTGTGAACTAAAGTAATTGTTCATTCCAATATCTGCGTATTTTTAGCCATATATAGTTCTATACCTAGAAATTACACGACTTCCACATACATTAAGCCGCCATTTGCGCTTGCATCCTCTCCCGCAATTAAAACGCAAATGGATCCATGACTTGACCTGACAATTAGAAAGCACCGGCAAGGAACTAGCATCCCTTCATCGACGTCTACGTCTTCTCCAACGAGCACGAACAGAGGCGCGACAGAGGTGGGTGGGCTATTCTTCTAACGACATCAATTTTCCATTCCATCTCTTCTTCTCCAAATCGGGTTTGGTCGCACTCCTTACGGTTCTAACCGTACAGCCGGATGTACGATATAATTCGCCGTAGTTTCCTAGCATTTTATTTGCTAGTTTGCAATGTATAGGCTTAGGGCAATGATAGGTCATAGGTACGTGTGTATCCCAATATAGGATACCGAGTCATTTATACATATATATTCTTCATACATTAAAAATCATTTACCTCATCTAAGTGACTTGACTGTTTGGTCAGGTCTGAGACTACCTTCGAGAATGATACTCATCCTTTTTTTCATACATTAAAAATTTATGTGTCTGTCCACGGGGCAACTATGATAGGTTCCCACTTCCCAGCATGATGCTTTTTAAAACAACTAAAAAAGCTTTTTATTAAACTCTATATAGTTGGAGAGAATATTTTTCTTAAAACTATTTTCCAAAAATATAAATGTAGAGATAAATTATTTTTTAACCATATTTTTCACTATTTGGTTGGAAGGAAAATGTTTTCTTAAACAATTGTTTTTTATTATTAAAAATAATGTTTTGACATAATTTAATAATAGGGTTACGAAGCAAAATAGAATCAAAACATTAAGTAAATCCCAAATTAGAAGTTAAAAGATAAGATCTTCGAAATATGAGTTAATGTGGCACAATTCATCAATTCAATCACCCACACACCCAATTGTTTTGCTCATTTATCGTAGCAGTCATCGTGTGAATAACAAGATTAAAAACAACGATGAGAATGACATCACACTAAAAAACACAATTATATAAATAAGGTTGAGAATGATCATCAACTAGAAATCCACTAAAGGAGCAAGCAATATATATTTAAATAACAGCTATGTTGATTACATGTCCATACTTTAAAGTTCTGATTCATTATTGGACAATCTAGAATGATAGATTCTTCGCCAATGTCACTTCATAAACCCATGTATAAAACCATCATAAAAATATTCTCATTAAATATTACTAACTTAGCTTGAAAATATTACAAAGTACTAACTAATCTTGTTTCAAAACAAATATCACCAGCAAATCAACGATAAATAGAACTATGTCGACGCTATTGTGCCTCAGTCACCGTGTCCTTGCCACACTTGAATCTTTGTTGTTGATGTCAAGACCCTCCATTGCCGTTGTTGATCTTTTGCCGTCACCACCGACATCACAGCCCTCTACCATTTTTTCTCACACTAGCATCACACTTTACATCGTTGTCATTGCAATATAACATTAACTGTCAATACAATGTCAACGGAAGACATAATCGCAAAAATGGCACCACACCAATATCACACACAACAATGTATAATGTTGCATATGCTCATATATAATGTCATACAAAGGCATCATGCCAAACATGACCCAATGCCCTGCACAATACACGCGACCAATAACTTTTTACGTGGCCATCATTGGGCAGATAAATGATCAATCATCACCTATAACGGAACATTCTCGTTTTTAACACCAAATCGTCATCCCAAAGCATCCAAACAAAACTCAAGGAAAGCTAAATTTGATTAAAGATTGAGAAAGAACTCACTCACTTTTGAAATCAAAGCTTTGAGTGATGGGAAGTGGTGGGGCGGCGTGGCAAATCTAAGAGGGATGCATCGATGAAACTTTGAGGGAGGGGGTGCACACGGTGATGACACAGTAATTGGGCGGTGGTGGTGATGGTGTTGTGAAATGGAGGTGGGGTGTGGTGACAGATCTAAGAGGGGTGCAACAATGATTCTTAGAGTGCTGGTGGTGTATGGCAGTAGAGATGGCGCTCGGATCAAAAGTGGTGATAGTGATACATTGCTATTGAGTGGCGGAGATGAAGATTGCAAAGGATTAAAGGTGGACGGGTTCCGATTGGGAAAGAGAATGGGGTGCGTGGGATTGATTTTTTATTTTAATAATTTTACTCTAGTTTAGAATAATTTAAGTTTGAAGTCTTATTTTGGGAATATCACCTATGTTTTACTCCTATTTAGATGGGGGATTCTTTCAATAATATTTTAATGACATAGAGGTCGACACAAGGAGGATGGGGGACAAAGTTCATGGGCATGTGGCGAATTACTAGTGATGATGGGCGGAGATAGGAAGTTGTGGGGAGGGGGTTTACACATAGTGTTTTTTTCTATTGTAATATAATTATATTTTAGTTATCTCTTATTCTATATATCTTTTAATATAAATTTTAAAATATATTGTGTGTTTTAAATTTTACGTCAATATTTCAATTGATTTAGACTTTTAGAGGTTAAAAACGATCTTATCTATTGGTTGAAAATTTTATTATAAAAGAAGAGAGTAAAAAGTTTTGAATTGGGAAAGGATATTATCATTAAAACGAATGTTTCATTTGCATACTTAAATTTATTCAAAGATTTCATACCAAAATATTGATTTCACATTTTTTATATTTTTAATTAACTGGCATATCAGACTATTAGCTGTCAAAATAAATATTAAAGTTATTTATTGGTGAAGAAAGCAATTTATTTATTAGGTGTCAATATTTAAATAAATTTAATCAAAAAACTAACTTCAAGTAAAGGTGTAATAAATTTTTCCCCCATATTTATATTTAATCAAATATTTCTTACCAAACTTTTAATTTTATATTTTCCATACGAAAAATTACGTGACATATTAGATGTTAGAAATCACTATATAAAAATAATTTTCTTTTCTTTTTATTCAATTCATAAATTGGGTTGCATAAAAAAAGCCACACAAGTAATGCCACATGTCAGGTCTTAGTAATGCCTCATGTCAGCTCCTAGCAATGCCACATGTCATCTTCTTAGAGCTTGAAATCTCATTTATATATATAAAAGATTACATACTTCTCTCTAAGAATTATCTTCCAATTATGCATTACGATGTTTGATTCAAATTATTTTCATATTATTTTATATAAAAATACTATGGAATTAGAAAATGAAAATTACATACTTCGTATTTAAAAGTAGATGTGACATGCATATATTATTTTATTAAATGTGCATAAAAAATAAGCGAACAAAATAATAAAAGTTTCACTATGTGAATAGTGAACGAGATAATAATTTTTAGATGAAGAGAGTATCATTTATCAATATTGTGAATTTAGACTAATATTGTGATTTAATTACAAGTAAAGTCCTGTTCTTTTAGATTGAAAAATTCACTTTCAACTTTTTTCAATTTTTTCTAGTTCTTTCCAACTTCCCAACAACGACTTAAAAACAATATTTATATATGATAGATGTATAATAACATTATATATCCTAATGCGTAACATACCACCTAAAGCATGGAAAATGATGAATATTTTTAATCCAAAATTAGATTTTTCTTATTTATTTATTTTGGTGATCATTTAATCGTGTGACATTCCTTCTAAGATTTTCTAACTCCTCCTAATTTTTTCAATTTCTTCCAATGTTTTTCAATTCAGAAATTTTAATCCAAAAGAATAAGGCCTAAATATTAGAAAAATATTTCTAAAAAGAGTAGCGTTTGGTTCGGGGGTAAGGGAATGGGGAAACGGAACAAGATTCCCTCATTCCCTTTGTTGTGATTTGTTTAAAAAAATCATTCCCCATCCCTTTTTAGGTTTTGGATTGCCGGTTTTAGATATTTTTCATTCCTGACTCTAACACTGTGTTTGATTGGAGGTAGGGGGAGGTAGATTTAGTATTCTACCTTGTTTAGTAACAAAAACTAAGATAGGTAAAGAGAGGTAGTTGGAGATAGAGGGAGGTAGGGTTACCTCTATATTTTTATTTTTGGAGACCGCCAATTTGTAGAAACATCACAGTAATAAACTATTTCCCCCTGCTACCCTCTCCTTCGTTTGTGGAGCATAAAACAGGTCGTCATCTTCACGGTTCCTATCACATCGTCATCCAATTGCAGGTAATTTCCGATCTTGCCCTTCCCCTCTGTTTTCAATTGTTACTTCAATTAGCCGATCCCTGTTTCGATCGTTACTTCTGCTCCCATTTTTTTGTGGCACCCTTTTTTTCAGCACCCATAGTCATCCAATCGCAGTAATTAGGGATTGGGTTTGTTCTTGCTGCACCCATTTTTTACTCTGTTTTTTTTATGTGATTTTTTACTCTGCTCCCATTTTTTTTTCTGTTTTGGGATTGGGTTTGATTGTTGCGGCACCCATGAGTTTTACTCTGCTCCCATTTTTCATGTTCTTGTTTTTGTGGTTTTTTCCTGTTTTTTTGTGCTTTTTTTTGGATTTTTTTCTGTTTTTTTCTACCAATAAAGAAAAACAACCACAAAGATATTTTAGTAATGTTATTCTTTCCCTATCTCACGTTACTTAATAAACATCCAAATAAATTTTTTTAACTTATTACCTTACATTACCTACTTTCTTACTTTGATTACATACCTAATAAAACTTTTACATATCTCCAACCAAACATATCCTAAATCCTGGCAATTTATATTATACATCCGGTTGTACCCAATTTTGAGTACAACCAAAAAATTATTTATGGTATGAATTTTATTTTATATGAGAATGAACACTAAGTTATTCGAGAATGAGTACTGTTCTGTTTCAGAATGAACACTATATTATTTGTCAATGAATATTATAATTATATTGAATCAATGTGCGAAAATGAGTACTATATCATTTTAGAATGAATATCATACTAATTATATTTCTGTGAGAATGAGTACTACTTTAGTTCAAAATAATAAGACTTACATGAGGTTGTACCATATCACTTCTCCTAAATCCATGTTTCCCACATTCCCCAACTTTAGATTTTCTCGCAGCAACCTTCGATTTTCTAGCAGCTCCCCTTCCCCAACCTTCCTCGCAGCCACACACCTTCTCGCCGGGCGCTGCAACTCCATCCGCCACAGGTATGTTCTCCCCCTCCCTTCCATCTCGGTTTCCTCCCCCTTCCTTCCATCTCCGATTCCCCTCCCCCTGCGACTCCCCTCCGATTCCAAAATAAACTTATCATTCCTTTTAAAAATAAGTATTGAACGGTTCAANCCCTGCAATTCCCCCTCCAAACCCAGAACAACTAGATCTGGTGTACAAAAAGAAGGGTCCAAAGTTGTTTTTGGCGTACCCAAACCAGGAAAGACTCAAAAATTTATAGAAGTAAGCAAGCAGTATGTTTCAGATTGGGGCAGGAAGAACAATGATTCCGTTGATAGCTTTGGAAAGTATGTAATGCCGCAAGGGTCTGAAGGTCGAAGAAAAGACAATAATAATTCAAAAACCAGTGCTGAAGAGAAGTTCCTGAATTCAAATCCAGGTCTCTTAAATCTAGAACGTATCATCTTGAAAGTATGTTGTGATGTGTGAATTTTGTTTAATTGTATGTTTGATAAAATAAATAAGTATTATTTTTAACAAATTGATCATAGCTGTGTAAAAAAATTTGATTCCCCTGTTTTGAACCAAACACGAACAAAGGGAATTCTATTCCCTTTCCGGACCAAACAGACAGAGTAATTTGATCGGCAAGTGACGCGTCTCGGATGCGAGAGTCAATTCTGGTTCTAATTTTTTCATCCTTTCGTGTTTAGTATTCTAATCCAAACTTTTCACTATGCTCTTTAGAATTGTTGACTCTACTTTTGTTGTTCACTTGCTAGATTACTTCTTTTTAATATATAGATGTGTTCTCCTTGTCTTATGAGTTATGATTGTGTTTTTTGACATCATGAGTGACGAAATATCTTGATTTGGGTGTTGGATTATTCGCGTGTTTGATGATTAGTATGGTTTGGTTCTACATTTGGGGGATAATTTGTGGTGACTCTAGCCTCTAGGTAGGTTGTGAATTTGTTTAATTTGTCTACCTGTTTGTCTGCACCAGACAACATGTGGTTTTGGAATGAATTTTAAATCACCAAGGAATTCAAGCAGTTTGTTCTTCACTCTCAAATTCCTCCCTTGAAAATGGTTACAAAAATCGAAGAGTCTTCTTTGATTTGGTTGTAGTTCTCTTGAGACAAACACCACAGAAGTATGTTCTTATCTTGGAGATTCTTTCTCGATTTTCATGGAAGTGGAGATCGGGGTGGTTAGATCACTTCTTAGTTGAGTTCTCATTTTCCTCTTATTTCTTTGACAATTTGCATGATTGAACATTGACATTAAATCTCTAGCCTGGGTTTGATTTGATTTTATTTATCGCATCTCATTTTGTAACCAATCACATCCATGAGTGGATTTATCCTTCATGTAGTAAGGGGAAATGCATCAAGTCACCTTCAATGTTTTTTTGTTTTATTCTCAGAGTACATAGCAAGTTAGCAACTCAACCTATATGTTCAAAATCCATTGCAATTTTTTTTCAAATTGAATTGCTTTCAGTTCATTCATTTTTAGCATTATGTTAAACCAAACCCATTTGCTTTGTTCCTTTGTAGTTTTCATTGTGATAAACTAATAATTTAACAGTAAATTAGGAAAATGTCTACTAGCTAGCTGCACACGACAGGTTACATGTGATATTCACGAAACTTAATTTTCAAAATATGTGGTCTACTATAAATTGTAGACGCCTGAATTTTATTTTTGTATGGCCCCCAAAAATTTTGGACCAGCTCCGTTTTTCTATTCTACTTGCATGCCCAAACTCAAAAATCTGGTATATATTTTACCGTATGCAATATTCTCCAAGTGTCCTTAGCTACAAGATTTTGATCCTATGTTCTCATAGTTTGTCCAAACTCTCCATTCCCTTATTTGTCTAACTAATGAGGATACTTGTAATTCAACACAAATCAACAGGGAACAATTGGATTAACATGAAGGGATTCGAAGCTGCCAAATTGAGCAACCTGTTACGGTTGAATGCTTCTCAACTAGAGATGTGGTATGAGATATTAAGACACTCCCTACTCAGATTTTAGAATGCTCTTTCCACATTCCATTCCTCCAAAGTTTTGTTCATTACACTATATTACCATTGTGGAAAAAATGCTTAAATACTTTTCTTTTCTAATATTATTCCGGTAATTAGTTTCTAAGTTGGACACTCATCGCACGTAGTGTTCTCCTACCTAGCGAGAATATATAGCAGCCATTCAAGAGTTTCGTCTCTACTGTTCCTCAAATTGGATTCTAACTGGCTATTGAGCTGCTCTGATGCCGGATACCATTCTCACATCCAGTGGCGAGACGCCATCAGCTTCCTCCGATCTCAGCTCATCTTCACGCACAATATGCCGTGTGTACGTATGGCATTTCTACTCTCTCTCTGTCTATATATATGTATGTATGTATGTATGTACGTGTGTATGTGCGTGTGTTACATGGTTGTTAAGTCGACAAGTCGAGTCGAGTCGGTGAGAGGGAGACTAGTGGACTAGGCGACAAATCACAATTAGTATTAAAATTTTTAACATTATATATATCTATATTAACCCAACATGAATATATATATATATATATATATATATATATATATATATATATATATATATGTCAAAACCATAGTTTTAAAAACCGGACCAGACCGGCCGGTTCGGACCGTGAACCGGCGAACCGGTGGTCCAACCGGTCCGGTCCGGCCCATTGGACCGTAATGCGCTTCGAATCGGTCCGAACCGGTGTGAACCGGCCGATCGGACCGGTCCGACCAGTTTTTTTTTTTTTTTACAATTTTTTTCCAAAACTTCACTCCATGGAGGTTTGAACCCAAGACCTCTTAGCTATTTGGTTAAGTTCCTAACCATCCAACTAACGGTGTTTGTTGTTTCAAATTCATATAATTTTTTTAATATATCATAATTAATAAAAAGATTGTATAAAAATTACTTTTCAATTTTAAAAATATAATACGTAGTATTATATGCTATGAGTCAAACACAAAATCATTGATATGTTTTTAATAAAATTTTAATATTACTTTTAACATATAAGTTTTATCTTTTAATTTAGTAAAATAACTCAAGTATGTTAATATAATTTTAGTCAAATATTATAAATTACTTTCTTTATGTATTTATATATGAGAATGTGTGTGTGTATATATATATTTATTTATATTTATATATATATATATATTTATATTTATATAATTTTTAAATATGTATAAACCACCGGTTCGACCAGTTAAACCACTGATTCGACCAGTAAACCAGTGAACTAGTACCTTGACCGGTTCGGTCCCCGGTCCGGTTCTCAAAACTATGGTCAAAACACCATAGCCAAAGCAAACTTATGTTTAAAGATAGCACATAAAGTCACTTAACAAAAAGTACATAACAAACAAATATCCTTCAATCTTTAAAAATAACACACCAAGAAAGATAATTAACCAAATAAGAAGTCAAAGGACATATTAAAATAGTTAATTCCATGTTTTGAGTTATCAAAAAACTGAAATAAAAAAAATTGAAATATTAAACTGAAAAAAAACTGAAATACTAAAATACTAGAATAAGAAAAAAATTAAAATATTAACTGAAATCAGAAAAAAAACTGAAATATTNAGTACATAACAAACAAATATCCTTCAATCTTTAAAAATAACACACCAAGAAAGATAATTAACCAAATAAGAAGTCAAAGGACATATTAAAATAGTTAATTCCATGTTTTGAGTTATCAAAAAACTGAAATAAAAAAAATTGAAATATTAAACTGAAAAAAAACTGAAATACTAAAATACTAGAATAAGAAAAAAATTAAAATATTAACTGAAATCAGAAAAAAAACTGAAATATTTTAAAAAAAGAAGAAAACTGAAAATTTTAAAGTATATTATACTTTATAGTTTAATGAACCAAATCAATGAAAATTAAATCAAATAGAGTATACTTTAATGATAACAAACTAAAAGAAATCTTACCCATGGAGAGAGTCGCTGCTGGAGGCTGATGGAGGAGAATCGATGGAGGAGAGTCGCTGGCTGGAAGTCGCGGAAGTCACCCTGGAACGGGAAGCCTAGAGTCGCGAACCTCCAGACTGCCGATTGTGGATGGATTGCGTCGAAGACTCGAAGGAGGCAATGTTTTATAAAAAAATTTAAAAATTAATGAAATTTGGGTCGGGTCGGGTCAATTGAATTAGGTCAAAATTGGCCAATTTTTTTCACCAATTAGGCGTCGCCTAATTGCGGCTAAGCGTCGCTAAGCGCGCTTAATAGCCTAGTCGGCCATAGGCGCTAGTCGTACAGCAAATCTCCATGGCAAAACCGCCCGGACGACTAGTCGGCGACTAGTCGTGGCCTAGGCGACGACTTGACAACCATGGTGTGTTATATATATATGTATATAACTGCTTGTTATCTTTCTCTCTTATATTCATTAAAAGATGAACATTGCTGAATGTGTTAGATTTAATCGAGTTTGTTCACATATTACATATAACAGAATGGGTAATGGGTCAATGTTTGAGTCAGTTAGTATGGTGTCGTTTAGTGTCTTTTACATATTTAATTAATTTAACTAAAAAACAGTCGGGTAGTTTCTAAAAGGCAGTTATGGGTAGTTTCTAATGTTAATAGTTGTGTTGGTTAGTAAAAGTTGTGTTGGTTTGTTCTCTATTTATATTAGAGAACAATGAATCTTGTAATGGTAACACATGAATTAAATATTCTACTTTGCTTTGATCTAGTCTTGTCTAACAATTGGTATCGGAGCGAAAATCCAATAAGGACCCAACAATCAAAGGGAGCGGTTTGTCTTTTGATCAGGAGTTGTACGATCGGGAGCAGAAGGGCTGCCAGATCATAATACAAAGCGTTAGACTTCCTCGACAACAAATCAAGATTCTTCGACAAGATTCTTCCTCACCTAGGACGAAAATAGTAGGTGGCTAGTTTTTTCCTTTGGCAGAAGGATTCCAACCAAACAACGCAGGAAAAACGAATAAGTGTGGTAGCTTTCGTTTAGTGGCTTGGGAGACGGAAAAGCATGGGCTTGTTTTCTGGTTGGTGGTCGATTGGAGGTGGCCTATGTCCCAGGAAGGAATCAAAGTTAAGAATTTTGTGAAAATTGTCGAAGGAATAAAAGTCGTGCAATGGGAGAACAACAAAAATTGACAGATTGTGACTACATGGGAGAATAGTTAACAGTTTGCCAACCTTAATCCGAGGAAGGAGATATGCAAGGTAAACTACTATTCACTAAAAGTGATGGAAAAAAAAAGGTTAAGGAGCACAAAACTGAGCATTGTGGTTGTGGGAGCTCAAACTAAGAAGACTTTGGGCGTGGTAGAGGTAGAGGTCAGGGTTCCGGGAAAAGTCGGGATGAAAGACCGTTTTAGCGCGAAAAGAATCACATTAAGTGTTTCAAGTGCAATGAGCTAGCCAGCTAGGGCATTTTTTGAACGAATGTCCAAAATGGGATCAAAAGGAACACGTTGCAAATTTGATTGAAGATGATGATGAACCAACGTTACTGTGAAGATCAGTGTGAACAAGCAACGATTAGGAGCGTGATTGTTAGATTTAATCGAGTTTGTTCACATATTACATGTAACCGAATGGGTAATGGGTTAATGTTCGAGTCAGTTAGTATGGTGTCGTTTAGTGTGTTTTACATATTTAATTAATTTAAATAAAAAACAGTCGGGTAGTTTCTAAAAGGCAGTTATGGGTAGTTTCTAATGTTAATAGTTGTGTTGGTTAGTAAAAGTTGTGTTGGTTTGTTCTCTATTTATATTAGAGAACACAATGAATCATGTAATGGTACACCTCAATAAAATATTCTACTTTGCTTTGATCTGGTCTTGTCTAACAGAATAGAGGTGTTTTTTTTAGGGTTATGATGATAATTGAGAAACATAATTCACGCACAATATGCCACATATACGAATGGCATTTCTACTCTCTCTCTCTCTCTATATGTGTGTGTGTGTGTATGTATGTATGTGTGTATGTTTGTATATATTTGTATATAACTGCTTGTTATCTTTCTCTGCTTGCAACCACGTTTGGAGTCTGTTCTAGCCTTCTAGGGTTACCAATTTTTGCAAAACTTGCGTATTGATGCCTCTATCGATAAGTGTAAATCTGAGGCAAATACGTACACGAGTGCTTATTTTTTATAGAATTTTTAATATACAATTTTGCTTCTTCAGATGTCAAAAGCAATTTTCACTATACACCTGCCCTCGATGCAACACGCGTTATTGTTCTCTTCAGTGTTATAAGGTGATGATGAAAGCCCCATTTCTTCTAGGACTGATTGTATGTGGCCTTTGACATGTATCCATGGACACATTCTATTGATATATGTGTCTTACTTTTCAGTCTCATAGCCTTCGCTGTACTGAATCCTTTATGAGGGAAAATGTTATGGGGGAGCTGCAGCTATCACAATCAGATGATCAAAGTAAAAAGAAAATGGTGGACATACTAAAACGATTGCATACAGAGGATGAGATGGAATCAATGGATGACGATGGTAAGTAATGTTTTGTAGTGTCAACACTCAACAGTATACATTACATTTTCTATGTTATTTATACTTTATGCTATATTCCGGTAGTTTTTGGTTCTTGCACGCTGGACCTGGCGGCTGGCATCTCTTTCCCTTTTTGTTCTTAGTTTTATATAGTAGTTTTTATCTTCGAGTCCGTTTGGAAACCAGGAAAGTAGCTTGTGGAAAATGACTTCTGGAAAATGAGTTATTTTCCTGAAGTCGTTTTCCTTTTCCATTGTTTGGTTAGATATTTAAAAATTATGTGTTTATGTTTGGTTCATTTTCTGAAAAAAAGAATTATCCAAAATGAAATCATTCCTTTGTACGTAAAGAAAACCTACTTTATGGAAAAGGTAAACAATTTTTTTGGGTTAGGAATCATTCCCTTCTATCAAGAAAAAATCAATTTGCCAATTAAAATTTGCAGACGACATCCCAATTCGTAAAGAAAATATTTGCAGATGACATGCCAATTTGCAATTTGCTGACTCACCACAATCCTGAAAAAATCAAGCAATAACTGAAAAAATTTTGCGATTAAAGAGAAGAAAAATGCCATTAAAAAAAGAAGAGAAGAAACACGGAGTAATTAGGTTTTTTGGTGGAAGAAGCCGGCTATGGCGTTTGGAGGAAGGTGCAAGCAAGGGGAGACATTGAGAAGAAGAAAGCCCTAGGAGCCCGCAGAACAAGAGAGGAAGGTGCGAGGGAGGGGAGAAAGGAAGGCGAATTAACGGAGAGATGATGAAGAATGATGATGAAGGCATAGACAAGAGAAGAAGCTGAAGGCAGATGCGAGAGAAGAAGACGGACAAAGTGGAAAATGACTTCCGGATTTACGGAGCAGAAGTCGTTTTCCTAATATTAGGTCTCAATTTCCACTGACTATGAGAGTGATTTCCGTTGACTCCAATTTCCATAGCTTACCAAACAGCAGAAAATATGGAAAATGACTTACCCTAAGTCAGTTTCCGTGTTTTCAAACGGAGCCTTAGTTAAATGAGTAAAAATAATTGAGAATAAAAAGCAAAATCTTTGTGCTTTTTTTCCATAATCTCTGATGGAGCCAAAGATTTACTTTTTTTTGAGGAGTGATGGAAAAAGCAAAATGACTCTTTAAACTCTATGTGCTTCTCTTATAGTGAAGTCCTTTCGACGCTCAACATGGGTGAGTGAAAACCGTTGCTCTATGTTTTAAAAACATAGGACATCCGACCCCCTTACCCCGCAATGTTGATGTAATGTTGTTACATTGTTCCAGATATATCTTTCTTTGTCATTTGAATGTCTTAAGCTTGCGTTGTTGACACCCCAAACCTGTGATTTTATATATGGAGTATCTGATTAGGAGATAAGTCTTGTACTTTTGTGACCTCTCTCTCTCTCTCTACGTTAAACCTTCACTTTTCTTAAATTAATTGTACTTTCTAAATATCATATCATGCCTCTTTTTTCCCATTGGGGCTCATATCTAACAATTTGCACCCAAAACTGCTTTTAATGCCTCCTAAAATTTCTATGCAGTGCCATTGTATTTTTAATAATGAGGTTTTCTGAATTCTTTATATGCAAAGTTCTATTATATAGCTAGTCAATATTGCTTCCTGGTACCTGAGGGAGGAACAAAATTGGATACTAGTTGCAACCATGAACCAGCTACTATTGGCTCCTTGAGAACATGTATCCTTTGGAAACGAATTAGTTCAAATAATGTTTTCTTGGCTTGCAATGACTTGCAAGGAATGTGCACAAATTGCACCTTTAGTCTTTCATTTTCCGTCTAAATGTGACCAACTTCATCAAAATTTCCATCTATGGACTTCCATCAACTTCTTTGAGGAACGAAATCAAAAGATCCTCCACATGACTGAATTGTGACATCATGTAAGGCCACCATGAGGTGCAAGTTTGTACGTTAAAAGGAATCACTTACATATCATCTCATCCATGAATATAAAACATTAGGGATTTGAATGAGTATACATGGGGACATATTCATGTGTCTGGTCCGGTTCTTTTGACACTGGTTTCGGTGTCATAGTATGACACTAAGGCCATTTGGAGGCCCGACGGTGCTGCGATGGATTTGAAACCGGGTCCTACCTCCCAAACCGCACCCCCTCCAGAGCCTCCACCCTACCCTCCTACCCAGCCCCTTCATGTTTCCCAATGTCAGCCACCCTCCCACCCCCACAACACCCCCTCCCCCCTGACCTGCACCCCGACCCATCTCCCTGGCCCAGACCCAAGTCACCCAATGATGCGCACGGTCCCCAAATGGCCGAGTGGCATAATATGACACTGAAGCCTGTTGTCATAAGAACCCAGCCCATTCACTTGTATGGACAAATCTGCCCGTCCCTAAATGTCACATACTCACATGTTAGTCATGTGACTGAATGACCTTATATTTAAAGTCATACACGTTTAGTGGAAAGAATTCAAGTTGGGGACTTTAGGTATGGTAATGTCATGAAAGCCGGCTACCCATTACTCGAATTTGTTTATATGAGATTATTAGCATTAACTCGTGCCAACTTTCATGTTATTCTAGTTTTCATCAAAACAAAGGTTGGCATGCCATTTATGCTATGGAGTATTGTCTTTAGATCTTTTTCCAATTTTTTCCTTCTAATTATTTGCATTCATGCCATTTGTATCAGAACCAGATTTCTCACTGTCAGAAGCAACCATTGAAAAGGTCTTATCAGGTAGGCCACTTGCATTTGATGTGTATATCACTGATTTTTTTTCCTCTCAACTAATGTGCTGCATTTTAATCCAAGCCCAGGAAGTGATATAAGTATTGATGATTTATCTGTTGAAGAACAGAAACGTTACCGCAAAGCAATAGCCTCTGGAGAGTTGAGCAAATTGATAGAGCCATGGGAACCATGGTGGACCAAGCCATCAGCCAAATATATCTCTCTCGGTTTGGATGGAACTCAACTAGTCCAGCCACTTTCTTCTGAAAAGCAGCAAGAAGTGGATGTTTTGCAGGACATTCCGGCTGGCCCTGAATCGCCTTTGCCCTCAGTCAGTAAGCTGAGTGCTTCTGCACCATCCCCACTATTGGCAGTTCACCTGGTTGACATTGTATATAGCTACTGTTTCACCCTTCGTATTTACAATGGCGACTGGAAATCAGATCCTAGCGGGTCTGCCATGGTTTTGCTCAGCCTGTCTCATGTTCTTGGTCAAGCTGCAGCACAGCCAGAGACTATATTGGAGGCTCTGTCATATTGTCTGGAGCAAACGTGTTCCCCTCCCTTTCGACATATGGGTGGCCCACAATTTGGGTTCAGACTCATGGAAGACGTGATAGAACTTTTCAATCTCGGCGGTTCGGCATTAGTTTGTTTGCTTTGTGATATGCAGAACCTGCTTCAATCGGCCGTGGAAGAACTCAAGTCAGATAGTAAACAACAGTGCAAGTCTGAAAAGTTGGACATGAAGAAAAAGCTTAGGTTGGCCGAGAGGAAGGTTTATTACATGATGTGTTGGGTTCATGATCAGATAGGGGAGGTGTGGTCTTCCATAGCTGCCATTGTGAATGTAGAGAAGAGCCAAACCATGGGATATGTTGGCAATGGAACTAGTTTCCGGAAGGAGGAGAAAACAGAAAGCGCCGGGAAGCCCTTTATCAAAGAAATCCGGTGAGGTGAGTTTCACCGCTTGGCTGTTCGGGAAATGCTACATGCAAATTGAGGCAAGATTCATTGTTTTTTGAACATGTTAAATTTCAATGCTCACCATCCCTTTTGTTTTAAGTCGTTGGAAGAAATTGGAAAGAGTTGGAAAAAATGTATGGATTAGATAAAGTTGAAAGTTAATTTTTTCCAACTGAAAAAACAGAGCTTTAGTGGCAAGACAAGACAATGTGATGTTCTTAAACATTGTCGTTATACGATCTCCAACTATTTATTTGTGTATTTTATTGATAATTTGATAAAATAACACATTCTTGTCTCTTTTTATTTGATACTCCGTATGTATGTTTCATATTTTGTTTCTACACTAATATTTAAATAAAATGAATTGAGAAGTTTAAAATTTTACTTGGTTTTACGTATAGTGCCAATCTTAATTTTATAGGGAACGAAGAGTAATCTTTTCGAAATGCTAAAATTAAATAATGCAGTTTTTGCCATATACTCCGTAGTAACGATAAACAATAAGCAAACTGCACTTTTATTTCTGTATTATTTTTTTGTTTTTGGAAAAAGTCTTTTGTGGTACATCGGGCTAAAAATTGGAGATTTTTCTAAACACGAACATTAAATTGTACGTAGTATTTACTTTTGTTCCAGTTGTGTTCTACTTGTACTTTTCATTTATATAATGTTTGCAAGTATTTTGTTGTAGTGCAGCTAACCCCAAGCTTAGCTGGCCGTTGTTATAGATTTAGTTACATATTTTAGTCTTTATATATATCGTTGGACCGGTAAACAAGATATTTTAGATTGGTAATCAAATACCAAATTAGATCTCTCTCTTCCCGGTTCATCCCTGTTCTTCTCATTCCTCTCAAACTCTTAATTTTTGAGCATCCTTTCACTAACTCTCAACTAGGGGTGGACACGGTACCGGTACCGTTACCGTCGGCCGGGACGGTCCACCGGTTCCGGGAACCGGTACCGGTACCGCCCACTCCGGTACCGGTTCCGGTTCCCATTTTTCGGTACCGGCATCGGCGGTACCGGTTCCGTAATTAAATTTTTTTTATTTTTATTTTTTATTTCATTCTTTCCTTTATTAATTTCATTTTTAGAGTTTTTTATTTCATCCTTTCTTTTAACAATTACACATTTACAATTCTACACTTTAAAAATTTAATAAAAAAGCAAAAAAAAAAAATATGGGTGGCCGAAACGGTACCGGAACCGGAACCGGAACCGCCGGTACCGGAACCGGAACCGGCCGATCCGGTACCGGTACCGGTACCAAGGTGGTGGCGGTACCGGAACCGGAACCGTCCCGGAACCGTACCGTGTCCACCCCTACTCTCAACCCTAGCTTCATCCTCGAGGGTTCTTTTCCATTCTTAAACCCTCTTGCATTGAACGCTAACATTGGTAACAGAGCAATTTGACAAAGGACTCTGATCAATTTCTCGCTCAAATCTGGTTTTCTGTAACACTCTAATCCGTCCAGGTCTGCAGCCCCTTTCGGACTAAAGTATTAACTTGGTAATCGTAAAATTTAAAACTTTTCAAACACTTTTATTTATCACGATAATATTTTTCGTAACATATACAGTGCGGAGTTTTCAATATTGCGGAAGCTTAACAAATCATAATTACAAACATAATTTGTTTATGTTCTTTAATTCAAAACCATCACATCCATTCCGACAATCTCGCCTCCGTCTGCCTCTAGAATCACGTCACATCATTCTTTCGATTAACCTGCGTGTAGCAAATAAAACATACTACACGCTCAGCGATGAAGCTGAGTAAGCATATCTAAAGCGTCGAACATCCACATAAATTGAATCTAAATTCACAAACAACCATTTGATATCATGCACACAATATATAATTCATTCATGATATTCTCAATATTTTTATTTCAATGTTTCAATAATCAACATTCATATTCAATATTCAATATTCAACAATATCCTTAAACTATGTTTAGTCTAAGGCCAATTCCATTTTTAAACTGATCTTAGTTCAAGATATTCTAATCCTTAAGCTAGGCCTAGTTTAAGATATATTTTTAAAAAGTGTTTTCAAATCTTAAACTTACCTTCGCTTAAGGTCAACCAAAAACCGACAGCGTAGTGTTCACTATTGGGTCGGGTGGTACCCCCAAACGAGTAGGTACTCAAGTTTGGTTCTTGGATCCCGTAAGTACGTTTTAACCCCAGCCACCGGGCATCATACCCGCAAGGCCTATTTCTAACCTATCTTAGAGGTCTTCTAGATAGTATTAGAAACCAACATCAATATAGATATATCTTAGAGTTCTTCTAGATATCCTTAACAATATTATTCATTAATTCATATTCTTAGTTCAACAATCATTTCATCCAGAATATTCATCATCATTAATCCATAATATTCATCAAATGAACAATCAATCAATCATCATAATAACTAATAACAATCAGCGGCCTAGCATCGAGTGTTATCACCCTAGCTTACCGTCATGCATCACATAAGATCCCCTTTTAGTTGTTAAAATACCATCTTTATTCCAAGAAATCATCCTTTTATTAATCATAATGGTTTGGTATCAAAATATAGGATTCCATAACTCAAAAATCATGTTTTCTAAATAACAATTGATTAATATATGATAGGAAATTCAATTATTAGCTATTAGCTTCATTTTCTTCAATAGTGTAGGGAGACAGTCTACTGTCACTTCTGATGATCTATTGTCTGATGTTCAGAATGGGCTGATAATCGATTATCACACTCTGATAATCGATTATCAAACTTCAGATAGGGCTGACAGTCAATTGTCACATTCTGACAATCGACTGTTGCTCAGCTTTGTTCCAAAAATCTACAGAACGATGAATAATCGATTTTCAAGTTGATAATCGATTATCCATCGTCTTCTACCTCAAGCCAACTTGCGGAAATGTCACTTTTACTCACCAAACTTCAATTAAAGTATATAAAAGTGTTCTCCAAGGTTCATAGATCATTTTGGCATCATTAATTCATAGTTTTAACATCAAAATCATGGTTTACGATTCTTAGTTCTTCAAGCATGTCAAACACAAAACTCAACCAAATGACCATCTATGAACGTAAAATCGATCTATATGAACATTCTAGTCATTTAGATATATCTACGGGCTTACCTCAAAGCTTAATGGAGGTTTTGAATGTTTTCCGGCGAAACTTCCGGCAGCAATAGCTCTTAACTCCGGCGATTCCACACCAAAATGGCAGCACCAGTGCACTCCTCTCTCAACAAAGAATAGAATAGAAGGAAATATGGTGTGTTTTGGTGAAGAATTGATAAGGAATGGTCTCACGTATATAGAAGGAGAAGGAAGGATAAAGCAAGCACTGTCATCTTCTCCTGTTGGAACGGCTGAGTGGAGGAGGAGGCTGATCTCTACGGTTTTTAAACGCAAGTCCCTGATTGGGACTAATTTTGGTCTCAGTCGGGGTACACTTTTTGGTCCAACTTTCTCCGAATTGAATTCCGTTTGTACCGTTGCGATCAGACAGTTGAATTCTAGTCAACGGTTTACTTATTATATTTATTTGTAATACTTTTTCTGACATCATATTTTTGGGTGTTTGACTTTGACAAAGTCAAAATTGGTTTAATTGACCTGTACTCAAAAAGGTTCTTGCATTCCATTCATATTATTTATGCCAATGATTTATTTCAAATCATTTCAAAGTTTACATCATAAACAATTTTCTTCATTTATTCTTAACTTGGGTCAGTACACAGGTTCCTAATCAAGATCACACAATTAGTCAACATTTTGGATTTATCTCTATGAGACTTATCCTAATTGTAATATTGGATATTAAACACATATTATTTCGGCCTAAAGCACAACAATAGTTCATTTTAATCAAATTTAATTTGATTAATTGGATTATTATCTATTAATAATTCTAGGGTATATTTTGGGACGTTACATTTTCAATCTTTGAAATTCCAATCTGGACTCTTTCATTGACAAACCATAATCTGTGAATTATACATTGATCTGAGCACGATTTAATCCTAGCTAAAACGAGAAATCAATTCCGATCGGAATAAGGATCAGACATGGAGAATTCATAGAGCAATCAGCTCAAGATCATTTGTGAACAACAATAAGCGGTACAGAATTAACAATTGATGGCACAGATTTCAACATTTTCATAGATCATCGAAAATGAAAAAGGTGATATGAATACATATAAAATCTTGCCTAAGATCAAGTTTCCTATATTTGATGGATCTTGTAACGCCCCAAAACCCGGCCTATAAGAATTTATTAATTAAATATAGTTAATTAATTATTGAGATGGACAAAGAGTTTATTTAAAAATATTCGTCAATAAATATTAAAAGTTATACCGTTGTGTAGGGTTCGACGACACGAATCCATCGGTGCGATCAGATCTGAATTCAGAGCTAGTTGGCCTGGAACGTGTATTTTTCCCGAGGTACGTATTTTAATTACGGAGCAGGAAACCCTACAACATAAATATACTCCCTACACACCTAAACCTGCAGATGTACACCGCTCCATAACCGCACGCCTCTCACTCTCTCTTTGTCAACCATCGTTGCAGTGCCCCAAGAAGAAGAAGAAGAAGAAAAAGAAAAAGAAGAGGAGGAACGTGGCAGCCTCATCTTTACCGTCGTCCGCTAGAGTTGATTATAGTTTAACCTTTCATCGTTTCGAGGTGAGTACGTGAAACCCTAATGTTAGAGTAGAAAATTAGGTTTGAAATCTTCGTTCGTAATCATTGTGATGAATGAATTGCATGAAAACGTATATGATTTGGTAATTCAGGAATTCTTGGGTTTTGATGAGCACTATGGGGTAGATTCCATGTTTTAGGCATATCTTTGATGTTGTGAGATTACGTGATAATCGTTACATGTTTAACACCATGTTTAAACGTTGTATTCGGAGAATCGGTGTTGTTTATGAAGTGGAAAAACAAGCTGATGCAGTAAAGGGTGTCTGTCGCGGTGAACGGTAGGTCAGTACTGCCGGGACGGTACCCAGGCACCGCCACCCCCCTCGTTTCCACCTCCCTCTGGCGGTATTTGTCACCAATTAACCGGTACCCCGGTACCGGGCGGATGGTAGGCCCTACCGTGCAGCCGGTATTGGCTACCGTGACAGGTACACCGTGTGAGGGCAACAGGCACTCTGGTCGCTACCCACGTACCGTGGGGCGGTACCTTGGTAACGTGGGGGCGGTACCTTGGTACCGTGGGGGCGGTACCCCGTACCGCTAAGGGTACTGTGAGGTACCTGAATCAGATAGCAAACCATATTTCACTGGGGACGGACTGCGAGGCTTGTGTGTATTGCATGACGGGAAGTTAGGGGTGTCAACTCCCCAGACCAACCACTAAATGCTATATTTCCGTTACGAGGTGTTGATCCAACGCATGTGTGAATATGTGGATTATATATTTGTATATGACATTGCAAGCATGAGTGGGCTGATCTAGCACACAGTAAACAGGTACCGCGTCTTAATCCAACGCGTTTGGTATGTTAAGTCTACCCAGAGAAAATCCTTGGGACTGACATAAATATAGGAAAGTAAGAGTATAAACCAGGTGGATTCCTGCTGGGCTCCAATGGTTAAGTTGAACCGAGTAAAAACGTACGTACGGGTATCCTTGAACTTCGTGGTGATCCATTAGGTGGGGATTCCACCCACCAAAGGGAGAACTCCTTCGTTGGTTGAGCATGACCCGTTGATTCAGTGGGAACCCTCATGAATCCCAAAAAGTAAAGTTATAGTCCTTAGACTAGTATAGGTCATAGAGACAGGTCTTGGTGATCCACCTACTATGATAAACTCACAGGTTCGAGGAGAATGGAAACATGCAAGTGCCAGGTAAATTGTGTGAGTTGAATTGTGTATGTGTGACCTATGTGTTGATTGCATGATATCTAATGACCATTATGAATTGTGGAATCGTTTGATTGTTTACTTGACGTTAGTTATATCTCACTCAGCGTCAATGCTGAGCGTGTAGTTGTTTGTGTGCTACAGGTAGAAGATGAACCTAGAGCCGATCCTGGAAGGCGATGAAGACGAAGAGATGTGGGTGGAGCTAATGGAGGATTTGGAACTTTTAATTATTAATGAATAACTTAATACGTTTTCGGGCATGAGTCCCAAGTTGCGTTTACTTACTTGTCAAGCTTCCGCACTATTTCAGTTTACTCCGATATTGGATTTTTGATGAACTGTTGGATGTTTTCTTAAATAGTTTTGAAAATTAGTGTATGTTGGATACCAGAATAATGGCAACCCGGTTTGCTAACCCGTGGATCCGGGTTATGCGGGTTGGGGTGTTACAGATCTAACCCGAGAAATTAGATCAAGAAATGTTCTCATTACTTCAAGGTATGTAAAACCCCTAAAAATCATAAGATTAATGTAGCTTCAAGAAAGGGCCGGGTTGCTGTCAAGAAAGGGATTGAATGTGTGATTTTATCTTGGGTGTTGGTGGGAGATTTAGAGAAGACCTGAATACCAAGATAGTTGAAGATTTCAATAAATTGGTTCAAGAAAGGTCAATAGATGAATATCTAGAGAAATTTAAAGAGTTGAAATCTATAATGCTACAAAGAACTCCCATGATGCCTGGAGATATTTTTATGGACAACTTTATTAATGGTTTAATACCTCATTTAAAACCATTTGTTAAACTTACAAAGTTGGAGGAAGTTGTGCAATTTTTGAGGTTACGGGAGGACAGATTTCAAGCTACATAGAATGTTTCCTGTACAGATTTTAGGCCATTTCAATCTGCTGCATTATTGCCTACATATAAGGGAACTGTAATTTATAGCCTTGATAGTTCTTTCACTAAATGCAAGGGTCAATCCAGTAGCAATGCCTATCTTACATGCTATGAGACCTGCTCAGCTAACAATAGTGGAAAAAGATTTAGACCTACAGAAATTGTATCAACAGCTGAAAGTAAAGAAAAGAGTTCTTAAAGTTCATGCTATCTCTGTGATCAACCTTCTGAAGGGGAGTTTCCAACTGATGACATGAGATTTAAAATACTGGAATGGCCAAAAATACTCATAGCAATGGGAGAAATTAGTCATTTATGCAGAATACAAGCAATGCCTTCAATAGAAACAAAGAAGCATGTTTAGGCTCACAGCGAGTGGAAATGCTTAGTTGCTTCTACTGAGAACATTCATTTCAAGATAACTGAGTTACTAGAGCGGTATGGCGATCTGTTCAAAAGACACACTAGTTTACCTGATGTCAGAATTTCTTTGAAGCAAGATACTTATTCAAGCAAGATTCAATTCATGACTAATCAAGGGCTATGGTGGGACCAATTGCTACTAAAAACTAAGGTGTGCAGAGTTCCTTTAAACTACAAAGCGAGGAATGAAAATCAAGTTTGGAATCTACCTAACAATCCACACATTCCATATTGGCTCTAAGAAAGGAGTGTGTGGGTCACTTTCAGGACCATTGATTGTATTGAAAAATGGAATGATCAAGCAAGGTACTAAGTTGCTGGGTAATACATTGTGAAGCAAGATGGCCAAGTGTGGGAAATGCTTCATGGACATATTCTAAAGAGATGGAGGCATGGAGCAAAAGGTTCCTGAACTTGTTTTGGGAACCAGTATTAGTATAAATCCAATACTATTGTTGACTTGTTGTCTGTTGTAGTTGGTACTAGGCAAGGTGTCTTTCTTGAAGTTAGAAAATTTTCATTTAAGGGGAAAGAAATGTTGGAGTGCAACTAAGCCCAAGCTTAGCTGACAGTTGTTACAGATTTAGTTATATATTTTAGTCTTTATATACATTGTTGGAGATGAAAACAAGATTTTTAGTTTGATATTCAAATACCAAATTCTATTTTTCTCTTCTTGGTTCATCCATGTTCTTCTCCTTCCTCTCAATCTCTTCTAATATTTTGATAATCCTTTCACTGATTCTCAACCCTAGCTTCATCCTCGAGGGTTCTTCTCCGTCTTGAACCCTCTTGCATTGAACACTAACATATTAATTTTTTAATAGGTTTAGTATTATTAGGGTGGAGGGTATACATACCCTATATACTTTTTATACTATATCATCTCTCTCTTACACATCTGCACCACATTATATTTCACTAATTTCTTACTTTTATTTCTTCAAGTTGGGGAGCACACACGCCAATCCGCCAACTTATTACAACCATTTTAAATAACAAACTTAATCTAATAATATAAATTAATTTGAAAACAATTTTTTAATAATTAAGTTTAATAAATAATAATCCCTCTGTCCAAGATTAATGTTCTCACTTTGACTTGGCATGGAGTTTAATAAAAGTTGAAATTTGCTTCGACTTCCCTAAAATACTCCTCCACCTCTTTCCTCCTTTCCTATCCACCCATCTTCTCTGTGCAATGGGATTGGCGCCATGCAGGATCTTCTCCCTGCTCAATCACTAGCTTCGACGGCTTCCATGATGCTCTACCGTGTCAACTCCGATCGTGGCCTCACTGCTTTGCCGTTATCTCCGATCGTTACTCCATATGAATGAAAATTTAAAAATATTTTTTTGTAAATACTAGTAACATAAAGAAATACTGGAGTAATATATTTTAAAATAATTTTTAAGTAAATAAATTTAGAAATAATTTAAATTAAACTTTTACTTTCATACACATTATGCAACGTAGAAAGTGATAGAAAAATAAAACACTGATGATGAAGTCGTGTAAATAAATGCTCTTATGATTTAAAAATTGAAAAGGTAGAGTATGTTATTTTTGCAAATAGAAAATTTTAAATTATCTATGCATTTATTTAATTCTAATAAATAATTTGATTTATTAGGTTAATAAAACTTGCTTAGTAATTTGAATGTGTCGAATATTTATTCTTTTAGAGAGTAAAAGCTGATTTTTGAGAGAGTAAGATTTAAAAGTGAGTAATAAAAGAATATAAATTGTGTTTGTATGCGTGGGTGTGTATTAGCATTTAGTATGTTTGGCATATCCATAGACTTTTCATACCAAAACAATTTGGTACCAAAGTACTAGGGGCGGTGTTATTACCATTTTTACCAATTTGCCACCTAGACTTATTTTGGTACCAAATACGTAGTACAATTTACTTCTCCCATATCGTGCACCCTTAATGGGCACATTTAGAGTCCACTTGTAAACTTGTGTATATTCTTGACTCCAATAATGACAAACATAGAAGCACAACGTACTATTAAATAATCATATTAGTTAGAGTGATCGTTCGTTTAGTCGCATGACACCCTTTTGCACAAATACCACTTTGAAAGGGATTTATTCCGTGTTTGTATAAAAAGCGTGCAACGCATTCCATTATATGTAATTCAAATAAACATTTTCTTTAATAATGTAAACCGGATTTGCCTATTCCGTTTCAGAGGTATTTATTTCCCCAAACGGATTAGACTAATCCGTTTCTCTCATTTAATTACTAAATGGATTAGCCTAATCCGTTTTGCCTTTAATTTTTTTATAAATAATTTCTTAATGTATGGAGCTCATTTGTTGCCTAATATTTTTTCTTTAAACTTTTTTTAGTTATTTTAACTCCACTTTTATAAACTTTTTTTTAAACTTTTTTAATTTTATTTTATAAAAAAATTGTATTAAAAAATTTTTAAATTTTTATTTTATGAATGAAATCAATTTACTTTTGTTACTTTTAAATTATTTATAAGAAACTAAATTCATTACAAAATAAAGGAAACATACATAAAGAAGATGTAAAAAATATACTATAATAAAATTTTAAAAAAGAAGAAGCCAAAACACAATCCATGAAAAACTTAGTTGGAAAATCTAATAATACATAAACTCAGACATAATTGAAATTCAAGACACATCTATTCCTCGTTACGATGTCTCCGTGGTCGATAGTCCATGTTATTCTGATAGCGGGTTCTCGTACGTCGGCCGGTTCATGTGGTCTGTCGTGGCGTTGGCCTCAGGATCTCGTACTCTGGAGTAGGCCATTCGGATTCATCTGGTAGCGGCATTATGATGCCAGAGTAAGTGTTGATGTAAGACTGAATTGAAAAAACATTTGGAATCAAATAGTCCACGGTGACACATGACAGACTGCATGGACATGATTGCACGGGAGGTGAAATGTAACCCATTTACCATAGCTACATGTTCGTGCATTTAAGTTCACCGTATATGTCTCCCGCTGCGCAATGTAGGACGACCCATCCACCACCACGGAGTATATCCCTTCTTGTGCGTGGTGCTGCACAACACGACAATACAACCTATTTTCTTCATTTTTCCTAATATGTTTCCAAATATTCATAGGAAAATTGTACCCGGATTGCTGCCATACATATCCATTGGTTCGCCTCTCAGCGAAAAGTTTGACAAGCTTATCATAGGTGAACTTCACAATGGCATATACTGGCAAACAACGACATCCTTTAAGGACATGATTGAAACTTTCTGAAGAATTTGTAGTCATTATACCATAACGTGCCCCACCTTCATCATGTGACAAAGCCCACTTGTGTTTTGGAATTGCATTAAGCCAGTTGTAGGCTTCTTGATTTTTGGATGCTATTCGGAGGAGCAATTGGTCAAACTCACTTCTGTTCGGGGCCTCACCACCTTTGTACATTAAGGTCCGCAGCTTCTTACTTCGAAACTTCTGCCAGAAATTGCTGCGTTGGTGGCGGAGACAATATCTTTGAGTCACTTGGAGGGCACCAAACTGTCTGCAAAATCGATCCGGATAGTACATCTCCACGACATAGCCATAGATCAAAGGGAAGCGTGATGTCCATATTGGGAGTCCGACTGAACAAAAGGGTGGTAGGGTCTCGATGTTCGGATACGGCATCTAAACAAACTACATACATAAAAAAGGAATACAATAGACATTTAAAATATTATATGTATGCATAAGATTGTGATGTGTTTAGTACTTACCTCTCCCTCGAGCAGCCTATCTAGCTGGTCCCTGTACGCTCGTAAGGAATGTGTCGTACAATCTGACCACCGATGATAACACACCCATCTACCAATGGAGGATTAAACATTAACATGAATAAAATGAATTAAGTAAATGCATGCTAGACATAAATAAATGGAAAATACCTGACACCATATGGAACATTAACCAGCTGCTCCAATGGTACAATGCCCCTAGGTCTAGTCATAGGCAGACGTTCCCATGCCCAAAGCTGTAAGAGGATAAGACACCCTCCAATCTGAGATACATGTGTCATGCTCGCACGACACATACTACGATACAAGAAACTAAGAACCGCAGCACTTATGGCACGACCCCGCACCAGCACAGAGTCACGCATGATTACCTCCAACAGATACAAACTAACCTTATTTCTTGTCGTGTTGGGAAATAAGCTGCCACCCATCAACTTAAACATGATAGCTCTAGCATGCTGTTGGTAATTAACTTCTACACTGTGCTCTGTCAGCGTCTTCGGATCAATTACAGATATCTTAATAGTAGAAGACATAATATCAGATGGTTCAGGTCTAAAACCCATCATGTCATGACAAATCTAAATCCACTGATCTCTTGATCGACTAGTGCCCCCCGACAATGGAATGCCATCAACGGGCAATCCAAGTAAAACCTCAACATCTTGTAGTGTAATTCCCACCTCTCCAAAGGGAAGATGGAATGAATGGGTCTCGGGTCTCCATCTCTCCACTAAAGAAGTAATCAGAGCCCAATCTAACTCTAATCCCCCCACTTTCTCCACCCCATAAAATCCATAATCTTGTAAGATCTCTATAACACGAGGTGGTCTATTAGCAACAAGAGTCCTCGGATATATACTAGAACAAGTCCTATGGCACTTTAGACTCTTTTTGGCATATTCTTCGTCCGCCCATACCGCATCACACCTATGTACTCCGCCTTCAAGAACTAAAACGTCTCGTGAAATAGGTCCCGGATGAACATCCATTTGCTTCAAAGATTATAGAATAACAATTTATTTATTTAATACAAGCACACAACTAGGCAATTATATATCAATTACAATAAACAAATTCATCCAACTTTTATTTATTTATATATATATATATATAATAAATCTAAATATTATCATAAAATGATAAATATATATAAATTAAGTAAAAAATAAAAAATACCTCCATGAAACGGATTAGGCTAATCTGAATCGTCCTGGTCGGATTTCTCCCGGCGGTTGCCCCTCTCCCTCTCGGCGGCTGGTCGGATCTCCCTTCTTTCTCGTCGGTTGGCTGGGATGGTGGGTGGCGATTGAGTGGACGGAAGGGAAGGGGTAAGTTATCCGAATAGAAAGACGGAGTAGGCTAATCCGTCTGGCTTTAATTTCACTCGAAACGGATTTGGCTACTCCGTATAGGGTTGTTTTAATAAATTGAGACAGAGTACGCTACTCCGTTTGGTAATTTAAACACCTAAAACGGATTTGTCTAATCCGTTTCAATAAAAATTTCCGAAGGGAAACGGAGTAGTCAAATCCATTCTGCACTGTCAGGAAAAAAAGTCTGACTTGCACTGCCAGGAATGGATATTTTTTTTGTTACATAAGTTGGTAATTTACTCCTTTGAAAGAGCCCAACTCCAACGCTTGCTTTGACTGATTTTCTTAATTAATTGATAAATTAGGATCGGTGAATTGACATGTGAATTCTTTATTATCCAAAATTTCTTTTCTTACATATTTTTTGGGGTGGTTTTGTTTTTCCATGAGATAGTGGTAAAATTATTAAATTTGAAATTAAAATAATGATATTTTCCCCTAGTCAATTAAGATTGATAAAAATCCTAGATTATTGGTTTTGTCAATACGATTCGAAAAATGTAACTTTTCGTGTTCTTAATTATTGGTCGGTATAGACGATAATGATTTAGTGGACACCTATTACACAAATATGGACCCCGTAGATTAAGAGATTTTCTCAAAACTATCCTGTACTTGTTATATTTTTTGCACTGTAAATTATTACATGCACCTAAGGTCTAGTAGTAAAATTTTAAAACAAAACTTATATAGTAACAAACTACATTAAAAGTTCTACAAAACTAGAGGTGAAAAGACTATATTATTTTATGAAATAACTAGTAAAAAATAGGCAAACAAAGTAAGTTAAGTTTGACCGTGTGAATAGTATCCGGAAATATCTATGGCAGACAGAGAGAGTATTTTAGATGACGTCAAAAAAGTTGGAGTACTTCGTAAATTTTATTGACGCTCTCACACTTTGTTTTGGTTCAATGAATTTGGTTGGAAAATGGTACAGTTTGATAACAATTAGCTTTATTGAATATATTGAAGAAGTACAAGAAAGAATTCTAATAATAGTAGAACAACATTATAGAAGTTATAAAATAAAGAAATTCATTAATGATATTATTTGTTTTTTATCATCATTAATAGTTCTAATATCTTCCTAGATCAACAGTAGCGAGAAGCAGCTTGGAGTATAGGTATTGAAATAGAGTCGGTGGAGTAGTTTCGAGATAGCCGCTAGGTAGATCTTCGTTGCATGACAAACAAGGTTGATAGTATCTTCATTTACATTGAGTTATGCTCTAGGGAGAGTGTTGTCAATTAGAAGAAGGGCGTGCAATTTCTTTTCTTTTCTCCTTGTGAGTCATTCTGTGATTTTCTATCGCTTCCCATATTCTCAGATGCAAGGTACCTAAATCTACTTAGAAATGGAGAGCTTCAAATAGGTAATGGAGAAAGAAAGAGAGAGAACAAAGAGAACTGAGAGATTAGGGAAGAGGATTCATCTTATTTCTCGAATGAATATCAATTACAAGTTTTCATCCGATATATGCAGCAGGTTTAATCGAACAAGCTGTTAAACATAAATGAGTTAGTTAGTACTAACTCTAGCCCATGGTTATAACTCATCCCATATACATGTATACATTGTGACATAGAACTAACATGAGCCCATGACTACAACTCAGCCCATATACATGTGTATATTGTAAGACTCAAACTCTATGTAGGACCTCAGACACTATCAATTCTTCTAAAACCTAATTGGTGTTAGAAAAATTGCATACCCTAGGCTTATTGAGCATTCAACAAAAACAAGGGCCAACGACATTCGAGTGTGATTTGGCTCACATAGCCTCCGCCATGAGACAATTGCTGCACACACTGCCAACAATCTCCCTCTTAGCAATTGCTGCCGCTGGGAATCAAACTTGTGACCTTGGCTCCGATACCAATTGTAGGACCTTAGACGCTACTAACTCTTTTAAAACCAATTGATGTTGGAAGAAGTGCATACCCTTGCCTTATAGTGCATTCAGCAGATACAAGCGGTCACAATATTCGAGTGTGACTTGGCTCACATAGCCTCCGCCACAGGACAATTACTGCACACATTGCCAACAATCTCTCCTCTCAACAATTACTCGCGCAAAGAATTGAACTCGTGACCTTGGCTCTGATACCAGTTGTAGGACCTCAGACGCTACCAACCCTTCTAAAATCAATCGGTGTTAGAAGAAGCGCATACCCTAGCCTTATAGTGCATTATAATCAACAAAGACAAGCACCCATGACATTCGATTGTGACTTGGCTCTCATAGCTAGTCTCCACCACGGGATTTGCTACACACATGGCCAACACTCTAGAAGAAAAACAAACAAATGTAGTTTTCTAATTATTTGATCATGTACATGATGTTTTTAGAGAGAGACAGAGAGAGGGAGAGGGAGTATACACTGTAACATAGAACTAACCTAAGCCAATGATTACAACTCAACCCATATACATGTGTACACTATAACACTCTCAAACTCTAGAAGAAAAACAAAAAAATGTAGTTTTCTAATTATTCGATCATGTACATGATTTTAGAGAGAGAGAGAGAGAGCGAAATATAAAGGACGACAATGATTCGGTAGGATCATAATTTTTTAGAGAGAAAAGATTGAAGGATAAGGAAAGACAACTGTTAAGCACGGTACACGGGATCGGTGGTAGCTGTTAAACACGTACACTACTTTTTGGGAGGGGAGAAACTCTTGCTCTGATACCATGATACCATTTGGTAATAATTTGTTTTATTGAATAATGATGTTTATCCCTATATATATATAGAGAATACAAGAAAAAATTCTAAGCATTTTAGAATTATAATTATAAAAGTAATAGAATATGGAAAGAAATTAATTAAATAATATTATTTATTTCCTATTATCCTTAATACTCATAATAGAAAAGAAAAGAAAATAGGTTCTTCTCATTTCTCCGCCAAAATGGGAGGAACTTGGTTTTCTATCATCTTAATACATTTTGTCTTCTTATTTTTTAAAGAAATCACCTTAAACAAGTAAAACATAAAGCAAATATCAAAATAAAGGCTTCATATTTTTATTCCAAAAACTAAACTTTACACAGTGAATATTTTGGCATCATTTGCATTGTATATGTATTTTAACTCCTATTTTGAAAATAAAAAATATAAGACTCTTATTTTAGTATATTTTTTATGTTTTACTCGTACTTTATTTTCTTCCCTTTCCTTTTTATTCTATTTTTCTCTTCTTTTCTTCTCTATTCAAAAGAGAAAAATTAATTTTCATTCTCAATTTTTTTTCTGTTCCCTCTAAAATATAATTATTCATTGAATAAAACTTGGTGCAACCATGTTTGGTGTACCCCAAAGGATTACACTTACACTTTGATGGCTTAAATTAACACAAAATATAAGTGTGATTGCAAAATTTTGCACTAACATTTTGTGTTAAATGTAGGTCTTCAATTTTTCACTTATATTGATACAAAATGTAAATGTAAATCTTTGAGGTACATTTTAGGGTACGATCTTGGAGGTACAATTCAAGTAGATTTATTCAACATACTATACTACTCCCTCCATCCAGAAATGTTTTTCCTATTTGACTTTTTGCGGTTTTCAATGTTGCACTTTGACTAGAAATATTTATGCATAGCTAGATTTTATAAAAGTTTAATATTTGAAAAAATCATATTTTAATAGAATTTATAGGAATATACTGATATTAAATTTGTATCACAATATATACAATCTATTTTTCTATATATCATTTCAAACTTAGATCAAGAAATGTCAAATAGGAAGAAAATTTCGGGAGGGAGGCAGGGTGTATTAGATATGGGGAGTCCAAATTCTATCGAAATTTTAATCAAAACACAAAAGAACACTTTTATAAGAGAAAAGAGAGAACTATTGCGATCTGGATCAACTTAGCTAGCTAGGCTACCTCAAATCGGTGCAATAAATGACATGCATGCAGCAGCAGCAGCAGCTCGCATTCATCATCAGCTAGCCTGGATCACCGTTCAATTAACATGCATGCATGCATGGGTTTCAGTTCATTTAATTCTCCTATTATATATATCATACTATATGAATGAATATATATGTTGCTGGCACGTACTATACATACATACTTT